ACCTAGATCTCCTGCCTGTCATCCTTCATTGATTTTGCAATCCAGCGGCATCCAAGCAGAACCATACAAGCCCATAGACCTCAGTCTGCCGCTGATAGCCGATCTCTATTACCCACCTAGCTCAAGGCTTCGGTTCGAGGGGCTAAACTTCTCAGGGGAAGAGGCAGAGAGCTCCAACTGGCGTAACGGAGCGACGGTAAATTTATGAGCTGCTTGGAGAACGGATCATCTTCTCTCCCCCACTTTTATTATCCCATCAGATCTGACGTGATAGCAATAATACATGACGGCCTGTCACATTCTGCAGATCTGGCGGCGAATATGAATGATGATTTCAAATGCCTGGGTCTAATCGGCGTTAAATTGCTTTAGTAAATATGTTCAGCTACCAGCACTCTGTCTTCCTCCTGTCTCTGACTTTGAATGAAGCTCAGAGTAATAGGCTTGTAGTTGTCACAATGTTTAAGACCCGTGTTGGCGTCACGGTTCATAATTAGCTTTTAATGCACATAGTCGGCTTGAGGGGAGGAAATCGACGGAAATGTGGAATGAAAAGAGGCCTGCTGTGTGGCCATAGTAATTCAGGCTTTTGTTCTCTAATTAAATGACCTCAGAAGGGAGCGCTAAGCTTAAGTTTGTGTGTGGGGCGCCCTCTGATATGGAGGTTTGCGCCAAGTGTGTTCAATCTTGCAATGAATAGGGCGTCTACTACAAAGCCCAAGAAGCCCTCTCCGTGTCCCCTTCGCCTCCTTGTTAACTGTTGGAAATTTGGCACAAAACGCCGTGTCTTTAACAAGTGGCTCACAGCCCCTTCACATAGTTCAAGACACTGTAGTTAGGGACACGGTAGCCCCCGGTGTTTTCTCACTATTCTATCCTTCAGTTTTAAAAGCAAGACACTGAAAGACTTCCCTGCAAGCTGAAGCTGCACATACTCTTCCATTAGTGTGTTTATTCCACGGCAAAGCAAATTGCACGCTCTTCTCTTTCTTTCTCTTCTCTCTCTGATGTCTGCGGTTCGAGGCGGACAGAGCTGAAGCCTGTGGGAACACATTTTAACAGTTACCTCCATTTATTTGTGTTTGTATTTTAACCATGTGGGCTAATTTGGTAGTACTTTGAACGGGGTTTTGTTTGCCATGCGCACACAGTTTCAAACCGTGTTGTTTTAAATATATGCAGCTGCAGTCGAAGCACTTACTCCTTGCTCTGGATAATCCACAGACCTCGCTGTCAACAGTTCTCACTGGGAGTATTTTATTTAATGGAAAGTAGTCCCAGTAAAACACTCCTGACAGTGAGGCCTGTGGATTATTTAGAGTAACTGGAGCACTGGAAAAAGTTGCTGTTGAATATTTCAGATGTTTCTTTTTCTTTCTTTAAGCTGTAAGCACTGGAAACACGTTTTCATTCATAATATATTTGGCATGTGAGAAGTGAGGTAGATATGTGGATTAAAGCTGCTTTTAAGTTCAGATGATGAACGTTTTCTGAATAATCAGTAAGAATAGCACAAATCAAACACAAATTTACAGGTTAATTAATTTTGATTCATGAATTGCCAGTTTTATGGAACTTTATATTGTAAAGCAAAGACCCTACAATATCAGAGAGAAAACCCCAACAGTCATGTGACCCCATCTATCAAAACAGGTTATTTTATTGTTTTAGCTATTTTCCAAACAGTACTGAAAATACAGAAATATAATGAGCACGAGCTAAAGTGCAAGCTCTCAGGTTTAATGAAAATATTAGATTAACCATTGAGGAATTACATGTGTCTATATTTGTCATAAAACTTGAGAGTGATTATGCTTTTTTTCATTTTGTTTGTTTGTTTTTGTCCATATAGGCCTCGGTCACACAGGTCTAAAAAAACCCTTGCAGGTTAAAAGTAATTACAAGGTGATTCTCTCAGTGACACGAACCAGAAACGGAGAACATTCACCTTCAAAATAAAAGTTATGCTTTGCACAGCAACCGACACATTTCAAAAGGTTCAAAAGGTCCACGTTTTAAGTTTGCAGAGTTTGACTGCCATCGTGTAATTAGTTTGCAAGTGTTTGGAGACAAGTCGGCATCTTCCATAAAAAAATCCTGGCGACCTCAGCAACCTGTTAGTGATCCAAATAGTCGCAGCACCGAATACTTCTTTGTGACAGCTTTTACACCACCAACTGCCAGCAACCTCCAGCAACCACTTGCCAGCTGGAGGCAGAATGCACATTTTTCCCTAGAAGCAGGTGGTTGCCAATGGGTCATCAATTTCACGGTGACTACCTCTTTCATCCACTTGCAACCAGTCAGGGATTATTTCTTTTTCCCTTGTGGTCGGTGGTTGCCAGCCCTTAAATAACAAAAAGTATGTCATTGTCCAAAATTATATAGACCTCATTGTGGGAAGTATAGGAAAAATAACTAAGATGTAATATAGCGCTGTGCGATATGAACAAAATCTCATATCCCGATATAAGAATTCTATCGTCCTGATAACGATATAAATCACTAAAATGTAACATTTTCTGTAAATTCTGTGAATCTTGGGCAGCTCGACTTGCGGGAAGTGTTTCCAGTTGCGCTTCATGTAGCTGGAGTCGAGTGTTTTAACAGATGCATGAAACTAGACATTTTTAGACATAAGTTGTAATGCCCGCCGTTTTCTTTGTGAGTATTTATTACACAGCGTGCTGCGGGGAAAAGCCTGTTCTAACGTTTGAGCCTAAGGTTTATTTTTTAGCACCTGACGGCTCTTTTTTTACTTCTCATCCGTAAACTCTGTCCATCTGCTCTTTCACGTGATTCGGTTTATTTTGAAAAGTCTCAACAGGATCTTGAGCTTTATTGTGAAAGGTTTATGTGGAACATAAACAAGCGGACACGAGATGGTTTTACCATCGTTGCTGCTAACCACAACGCATAAAAACAGGCGGTGTCCGTCCGTAGTGTGGTTATATTAAATATAAGAGAAAAAGAGAACTTTAAGAAATTAATATAGCCACTACAGTGACCATCAAAACGATGAAAAAAATATTACAGTAAACAGTTTATTTTGCGACACCACGAAACAAACAATAGCGTAAAATGAAACGATAGACGTTTTTATATCGTCATCCGATATATATCGTTATATCGAACAGCCCTAATGTAAGATAATATTTGGAATAACCATTATATTAAGGTTCCCATCATTCATATGAGTCAACTCTCTGTCAAAACCTTTGAGAATAAAGAGTGTGTCCTTAAGACACCTGGCACTGCACACCCGTAAAACTCTTCTTTTGTCTTTGCCATTCTCTCTCTGCAGTCGCAGTACTCCATTTTAAAAATAATCCAAAAACGACACTTGATCCCACGTTGGGAAAGTTTCAACATAGCAACTGTTATTTCTGTTGTTGTTGGCCAAGGCGCTCTTTGGACGGACATGCGAATGAGTATCTCCATTACAGCTGTTCTGCACGCTGACAGCCTTCAGCCATTACAGCCACCTGGCACGTCTCCACGCCATCAGTCCAGTTGTGAGCATGCGGAAACGACGAGGCACCGTCAGAAACCAGATCTCGCTTTCATGAGTGGAACATTAACAGCTGCTCGGGAAGGTGTAAGAGCAGGGGCTGAGAGTATGTTCGCATTCACACAGATGAAGGGGAGGCTGCTGGAATCGCAGATGACATCTTAATTGGCCTTTTGGTGCCAGATGCCAGCCTGGAAAGACGTCCAGGCCAGGTCCAAGCTGTAACTGTGTCTCAGTTGCCAGGCATGGCATTAGGAAAGGTTTTTAGGAGCCTAGTGGCTCCGCTGGGAGCTCCCACGGGTATTAGGTTCTCCAGTGTTGTGCTGCCTCCCCTCCTCGTACAAACACCCTTCTTCTCTCTCCATGCTTCCTGCAGAGCACTCTGAGGCTTTGTCAACACCCGTCAATCTGAGGCGAATTCAGATAAAGAAAAGCCCAAGGACGACAAAGGCCAGGCCTTCTTTGTGTTCAATCTATTCACACCGAGCTACTGGGGTCTGGCTTTTCTGCAGCTTCGTGCAGTGTTTAGGTGGAAACAGCCCCCCCACGCCTCACAAAAAACCCTCCACCCTTCTCATTTAAGCTACATTGATGTCCTGCAAATATCCAGTTAGCCACAAAATAACTGCCAACCTCTAACCCTGAACCACTTCTTACTGTTCCCTTTCCCACTCCCCTTTATGTGACACCTTTCTCAGAAGAATCATTTGCCATTACCCTGAGCCTGTTCTCCATGCTAGTCCAAATGAAGGTACATTTATTTGATCTAAAATATGAGCAAACACACAGTCCACTCTGCAGTTAAATGAGGAGAGTGAAAGTAAAGGTAGAGGACTGATATTAAAGATGAATCTGATTAGCGAACAAGAGAAGCAGTACCACAGTGTGAAATGGGCTGCTCACAAAATGATTACCTAATATTCCTGTTTGACATTACTCTTGATCCTCGGCGTGAAGCAGGGAAAGATCTTGAAGCTCTCCCGACAGATGGTGAAATGAAAATCCATTTTTAATGAAGTTACAGTTTAGTCTCTCACACAGCGCTGACGCTTCTGACAAGGAAACACGATATTTTAAGGTGTAAGTGGATCAGATTTGAATCAAAGACTATATTTGTAGCATGCATATCAAGTACAGTGAGTGTTGGATCATAGTTGTAAGTAAGAAAAAAACACAAAGCTTTGAGGATTTGGGATGCTCTGAAATCAAACTGGAGCATGTGGTCTTCTTATTTTTCTCTTAAATCGATCAGTAGTTTAACAAATGAGCTGGACCTTTTTCACGGAAAAGTTCCTGCTGTTATTCTGCTTCACAGGGAGGTCAAAGGTCAAGTTCAGCTTGAGAACAGCTTCACCTGGAGCTTGAGTAATCAGTAACTCACCGAAAGACTTTTTTAATCTTTCCTTTCAGGCAACTCTCATTTAAAAAAAAAAAATCTAACTTCTGCATCTTGAACTCGCCTTTTTCTAATTTCCGTTCGTCTCCCCAGAACGAGCCATCGCCAGACACGAGGTACGAGAGATCGAGCAGAGGCACACGCAAGACAGCCTGCGGGAGCGGGACTCAGCCGCAGCGCTGTCCGACAGCGAGGATGACGTGGTCATCATCTACAACCGGGTGCCCAAGACAGCCAGCACTTCCTTCACCAACATCGCCTACGACCTGTGCGGGAAGAACCACTACCACGTCCTGCACATCAACACCACCAAGAACAACCCGGTCATGTCCCTCCAGGACCAGGTCAGGGGACCTGCGTTTCCTCCATCTTCCTACACCTGATCATCTTTGTCTGCTACGGAGGTCATTATTGTGATATGTTGATTTTGGTTTGTTCAGGTGCGGTTTGTAAAGAATGTGACTGAATGGAGGGAAATGAAGCCGGCTTTCTACCACGGACACGTCTCCTTCCTGGATTTCACCAAGTAAAGAAGCCTTCATTTCACATAGTGTTGTTTTTTTTTTTTCTCCACAGCCCTGTAACCAGTTAATCCACCCTGCTGTGGCTTTGATCAGCTGACTCCACCTTGTGGTCACTTAAAGCTGTTCACTCTCAGAGTGAAAAGCAAATTGTAGCCATTTGAATGTTTAAGAAAACAAAATTGCATAAAAACAAAAATTCTGTTTCATGCATTTTGATTTCATTCCTGGTGAGCTTTCTGAAACGAGTAATTCTCCTCAGGTTCGGGGTGAAGAAGAAGCCCATCTACATAAATGTGATTAGGGACCCAATTGAAAGGCTGGTGTCCTATTATTACTTTTTACGTTTCGGGGACGACTACAGGCCCGGCTTGAGACGCAGAAAACAAGGAGACAAGAAGGTAAAACAGCTTTATTCTTTTATTTAAAGAATGGATTCATTTTCATTTAAATAACAGGGATCTGTGGATGAAATCTCACTTAATATTTGGCTTGAGTGATCAAACCGAGCGTTTATCTTCCAGAGCTCAGCATTTCGAGGCCTCTGTGCTGCTGACAGTCATCAAGGCATTGAGTGGTTTTGGGGTGTCCATGGTTGAATCCCGTGGTTATAAATGGAAAAACATCAGGAATGCTAGCAAAAACAATCTAATTACATCTGGCACAAATGTTCATTTGGACTCAAGGATGAGCTCATTAAAAGTTAGTAGTCAAGATCAGTGTCACCTCACCAAAGTCGAGAATTCGCAGTTTAATTATCGCTAAATTTCACACAAATGCCTCTAACAGGAAAATCCGATGAAGTGGTGACATAAAATGTCACCAGACTGGGTTGTTACCAGCTACTTAACTAGCATACCACTGTGAGGTGGTAATTCCAGTTAAAACAAAATTCCCTCTCTTTCATTTCTCCCAAATGTGTGTTTTGTTTTTTCTTTTGAACTAGAAGAAAAAATTACTGGAGAATTGAAGTTCTGACTAAACTGTGGAAAATAACCACTTAAAGTACCTTTTAAAGGCTCCGTGTAGCTTCAGGATTATATTTGTGCATAAAGCTACTTCGGAATGTTGTCGTCTTTCTTTTGTTTCTCAGTGCATTAAGGGATATGAAGGTCTAATATGAAGGAACACTTATCTTTTCGTCTGCTTTCTTGGTGTTTTTCATGTTCTGTGTTTCAGACGTTCGATGAATGTGTATCAGCTGGTGGCTCGGACTGCGCTCCCGAGAAGCTCTGGCTCCAGATTCCCTTTTTCTGTGGTCACTACTCCGAATGCTGGTGAGAATTCAAACACCTGCTGCTCCTGCTGTGTCGCATTCAGACCACACTGAGTCTGAGATTATCAAACGTGTCTCCTTTTTTTATACATTTGCATGTTGACAGAAGAGATCTGGTTATATTGCAACCAAAAACAGGAATGAACAGGCTTAATGATACAGCTTATGTACCTAATAAAATAGTGTAGCTATAAATCAATACACTGTTTTGTTTTCTTCGAGGTGTGCATTGTGTGTTTTAAAAATTATTTTTTTTTAAAAATGAGCAAAGCAGACAAGATGAGAACAAAAGAAGAAGTAGCAGACCTGAAAAAACTACAGCAGAGAGTAAAGTATCCCAAAGTCATGTCAGGCTTTTATGTAGCATTATTGCTGTTGGCAATCAGTGGATGGATCAACTAATGTTGCAGGTCCTGTGTCAGGCCTGTGCTGGGTGTTTAACTGTTTCTTAAACACATGACTTTTCAGATACTGTTCATCAGTCACAGGGAGGTTGTTTTTTTTAAACTTGCCATTTCTTTTATCCTCCAATGTCCAGTTTTTGGGGGGGTTAAGGACACGCTGCACACCATGCTGAGTTTTTGGCTAATAGTTCTTTTGGGAATCACCTTGTTGGTGCAAAAGTACTGTTTTATGCCAGTTTAACTGTGTTATCTTCAGCATTTTCTACGGATTCAACTGCAGAAATTGGTTGACAGGGCAGATTTAATGTTTTCATAAAAGAGTGGTTAAAGACAGACTATTAAAACATCTATCCATCTTGTTTCGCTTTTCTGGGTCGCGGGGCAGCAGTCTTAGCAGAAAAGCCCAGACCTCCCTCTCCGTGGCCACCTCCTCTAGCTTGTCTGGTGGAACACCAAGGCATTCCCAGGGCAGCTGACAGACATAATCCCTCCAGCGTGTCCTGGGTCTGCTCCTTGGCCTCCGAAAGAAAACCGGTTCCTCCTAAAACAGTCAGGTACAAGAACTTGACTGAAAGTGAGCGAAAAAGCAGCCGATGTCTGAAGAAAAACTTCTGAAAGCCCAGAGTACCATTGCTCAAGAGCACTTAAAAAAAAAAACTGCATTATAATTCTGCCTCCTTGGGAGCAAAATAAGAATAAATCAGGATTGGCTCGATGCATTTACACAGTATCAAATGTTAAATATGCTCGGTTGGGTTCAGATTTAACACCACTGTTAGGGTAGGAATAAATGCAGCGGTGAGATATTTTTCTCTGGGTTTGTTGTCAACAACACAAACAAGCAAAGTCACTGACCTTGTCTTTTCCTCGGTGCATGCAGATGAAATTGTTAAAAAAGACGTGATGTATCAGTCTTCTTCAGTAGAGCACCACATTCAGTCATTCTCTGCTTTGCTACACTCTCTCCTCAAGGTCTCCAGTAGCCCTCTCACTGCCTTGAGCCGTTCTCTCTACATTGTGTTTTCTTCCTTTTTTATCAGTCTCTCGCTGACCCTACTCTTCCCTCTCACCCTGACTAATTGGGTGGATGCCGTAGGCATCCACACTATTGAGATCCTGTTTCTCTTTATTCTTTATCCTTTATTATTCTAGTTGCTCCGTTTCTTTGCCGCTTAACTACTCCCTCAGTTTTCAGCCGATTTTTACCATTCAAACTCTAAACTGTTCTGCTATTTCTGCTTTCGACTGCTATATCTTTTGGTACTTATTACTATTATACTTTTTAAAATATTACACTTTTTTCCTTTAATTTGTCCCATTGAAATGAATGGGAAACTTCTACAATTCTGCTAAAACTTGCTTGTCTTTGAAACTTAACTACTTCCTCATACTTTCACCTAGAAACTCCATTCAAACTTTAAAACGTTCTCAGATGATTGGGCTATTCCTGTGTGATTCAGCTTTTTCATATCTGTTACCGTTTTCATGTAATGACTCTTTAAGTTTTCAGTTACAACTTTGTGATTTTTCAGAAAATACATGTGTTGCTATGGTTGCTATGCAATTAACTCCCACTGCACACTTGTCCGTTCTGAATTTTCTCTTCATGTCTGAACAACTCCTTGCTACTCGCTCAATTTCCACTCAACTTCCACAAATTATACATCAAAACGTAGGTATTTTTGCTGGCTTTAAGACAGTGTCACTATAATTATTGTGAGAGTTACGTTTTTTTCACAATTTGCCTCGAAGTGACACATGGTCTAAAAACTCCCCATTCAAAGTCTATGGGGAGGTTGTGAAACTCAGAGCTGAAATACTGAAACTGAAGGCATTTTCAAATCGTCATATCTCCTTAACGAAGCAAAGTTAAGACATGAGGCTTGTCCCTGTATATCTTCAGACACTCCTGACACTCACAATTCAAGAATTATTTTCTCACCTATTACCGTTCTGAGATGAGTTAGACTTGTTTGAGGGGTGGAAATCTGTCCTCCTCTCATTTTTCAAATTCCGAAAATGAAGCCGTTTCTTCTCTCGTCATATCTCCGCGACGGAGATACAAAGAGCTATGTAAATCGCAGTCAAAGTACACCAAAGTCCGCTGATTCACCCAGTGCAAGAATTATGCTTCTATCCCACCTAGTTTTTGAGTTACACGACGTTTTGTAACTCCAAAAAACGGCGTTTTTCGCGTCTCACCGCGATCTAATTCTGACTCCTCATCACCCTTTTTTTCAAAGCGCCCGCCCCCTTAGAGGTGGCGCGATTGGTAATGACACCGCTCTTCAGACCAGAGGTCGTGGGTTCGATTCCACCTTGGCCCACATGTTTTTTTTTTTAACTACAAATTTATACACTATCACAGACCGGTAATTCATATTGATAATTTATTACAATTCTGCAAAGTTTAATGATTTTAGCAGCTTTTCTAATATGGACCTCAGATTCTGGTTAACAGTCTATGGCAGAAATACATACAAGTACACAGCCTGATGAAGCAGACAGAAGCAGTACCTCTGATTGGTTCCGCAGTTTCACCTCTTATCAGCACAAATCTCACCCTCTTCTGCTGTTTTCACCTCTTTTCTGCTAATTTGAGCTTCTGTTCCACAGTGCACTCAGCCTCTTCTGCTGTTTTCATTAGAATTTTAAGCTTTTCCACCTTTTTTCAGTTACGTGAGAACCAGTTTGGCTCAATGAGTAGCTGAAAAATATCAGCCTCTTCTGCTGTTTTAGCAGGATTTCAGAGTTCAGCTTTTTCACTTGTTTTAAGCACAAATTTCAGTTTCTTTACCTCATTTCACAACAAAGTTCTTCCTCTTCACCTCTTTTCTGCTAATTTGAGCTGCTGCTCCACAGTGCACATTTTCCCTCTCATCATATCTTTGCTTGTGACCAGAACTCATTTGGCTCAGAGGGTAGGGCATCTGTCGTGAGACCCGGTGGCAGAGGTTCGAATCCTACCTGTGACAGCTGCTACACATGTTCACTGCTTGCATGCGCTCTGCTTTCTTGACACTCTCCAGTGTGTCATTACACATACAGCCATCTTCAGCAAGCACTTCTGCTTCTACACTTCTTTTCAACTCGGCTTTTTGCTTCTTTACCTCTTTTCAGCAGAAATTATTCCTCTTCACCTCTTTTCTGCTAATTAGAGCTCCTGCTCCACAGTGCACTTAGCCTCTTCTGCTGTTTTCATTAGAATTTTAAGCTTTTCCACCTTTTTTCAGTTACGTGAGAACCAGTTTGGCTCAGTGAGTAGCTGAAAAATATCAGCCTCTACTACTGTTTTAGCAGGATTTCAGAGTTCAGCTTTTTCACTTGTTTTAAGCACAAATTTCAGTTTCTTTACCTCATTTCACAACAAAGTTCTTCCTCTTCACCTCTTTTCTGCTAATTTGAGCTTCTGCTCCACAGTGCACATTTTCTCTCTCATCATATATTTGCTTGAGACCAGAACTCATTTGGCTCAGAGGGTAGGGCAGCTGCCGTGAGACCCGGGGGTAGAGTTTCGAATCCTACCTGTGACAGTTGCTACACATGTTCCCTGCTTGCATGCGCTCTGCTTTCTTGACACTCTCCAGTGTGTCATTACACATACAGCCATCTTCAGCAAGCACTTCTACACCTCTTTTCAACTCATCTTTTTGCTTCTTTACCTCTTTTCAGCAGAACTTCTTCTGATTCACCTCTTTTCTGCTAAATGTTTAGCCTTTTCACCTCTTATTAGCACAATACTAAGCAGCTTCTGCTAATTTCACCAGAATTGTCAGTCTCTCCACCTCTTCTTTGTAAGAATCAGTTTGGTCCAGTAAGGTGAGACGCCGCCTATAGATCAGAAAGGCCAGGTTCGAATCTCGCTCAGGGCAATGTTTTTTGTTTTTTCAACTTTTTCTGCTTTTTTCAGCAGAAATCTTCAGCGTAAGGCATCCACACAGCATTTTCGCAGGAAATGCAATTTTTTCTAGTCCATCTACCCTCTTGCTGACTGAAGGTCTGAGTGTCTGGGATTTAGAGAGCAGTATATTAAAGTAATGGAAAGGCCCTTGGAAACATTAAATAAATAGTGAAGACAAAAAGGTGAGGTCAGTGCAGCCAGTCATAGATTGATGTGTTTAAGAAGGCCTTGCCAACAATTTACTTTATAGGTTTAAACAATCCTTATTTTATTTTCACTACCAAGCTTTTTTTTTTTTTTCCTTTTGCTCCGCTCTCCTGTTGTCTCAACCCTCTCCGGACTCACGGCTCACCTAATCGTTCATCCTGTCTGTCTTTCAGCTCCTCTCTGCTGCTCTTCTCTCCATCACCTCCTCTTCCTCCGTGTCAGGCCTTACATCATTCTTCCCCTCCATTTCTGCTCAGTTTTTCCAAGCTGTGTGGGATATTTTTTTCCCATCCAGCAGAGCAGCGACTCCCTGAGAATAAAGAGAAAATATCCACATCGAAAAGAAAAACATGACTTTTTTTTCTTTTTTTTGTGTGTAGGAACGTGGGCAGTCAGTGGGCTCTGGAGCAGGCAAAGTACAACCTGGTGAATGAGTACATGTTGGTCGGCGTAACAGAAGAGCTGGAAGATTTTGTCATGATGCTGGAGGCCGCGCTGCCACGCTTCTTCAAAGGAGCCACTGAGCTGTACAAAACAGGTGCTGCTCCTGCCACACAGTTTAAATAAAAAATAATAATAATAATAATAATAATGTATATATGTATGTATGTATATATGTATGTATGTATGTATGTATGTATGTATGTATGTATGTATGTATGTATGTATGTATATATATATATGTATATATGTATGTATATATATATATATATATATGTATATATATATATATATATATATACATATATATATATATATATATATATATATATATATATATATTAGGGGTGCAACGATATTCGTATCGATATTGAACCGTTCGATACAGTGCTTTCGGTTCGGTACACATATGTATGAACAATACAACATTTGTAATTTATTTTATCAATTTTCCTTCTGACGATGCTGTCTGTGTTGAGCGCTCAGTGAATCTGTGTTCGACTACTCCGCCTAGGCTGCACTGTCGAGCGCAGATCCACTGAGCGCTCAACACAGACAGCATAGTCAGAAGGAAGAGCGCAGGGCAAGCTAGCGAGACAGAAGTTAAGCTCTCCTTGCAACAGGCAAATTGAACCTCATTCAGATCTGGCGTTTGGAATTATTTTGGTTTTCATGTGACGTATGACCCTGAAGGTAAGCGAGTCATGGACTAAAGTAAAACAGTATGTTGGATGTGCCATGCAATGCTCAATTACATTGGTGTGAACTAGTGTGTTAGCGCAGTTAGCTCGTTAACGTGTTGGCCGTCTAGCCCCATGCACGGAGCGATCGGCGGTAGCTCGTTAAGGAGATTTGCCGTGTTGTGGCGTTAAGGTCATTTCAACGAGATTAACCTGAATGCACTAGTGGGAACACAATGAATATGACTGCACATTTACGCCGACATCATCCTAGTGCAAAGACAAGTGAAAGCAGACAAAAAAAAGCAAGCATGCTACTAACTTTAGCCGAGTCATTTAGACCGCTGTTAGCACATGATTCTCCTTATGCTGCTGAGAATATAGCCCAGAAGAAGCGGATAGTACAGCTTTTATTTTGGAAAGAGCCATTTCTCTGTAATAAACTCTCTTTTCCAAAGATGAGTGATTCCTCAATCAGATACAGGGCTCGCAATATCGCTAGCCCGACGTCCTGGAGCTAGCGATTTTTTTCAGTCGGGCTACCAAAATCTATCTCTTCCCTGCCCGTCGGGCTATTGTAGGAAAAATATATGTCAATGCTTTTGCATTCTTTCAGAAATGTAGCTGGGTAATTATGTCATTGGCATCGGTGAGCCACTGTCAATATGTGACATATTGAAGTCGCGTTTGAATTTGCGCTTATTTTTTTGCTTTCACTTTGCAATCATGCGAATTGTGTATAGAGAGCGACAGCACTGATCTGTGAGTGATGATAATTTGTGCACCAATTCCTCTGACATCGTCTTATTAATCGTTAGCTTACTATGCAAACATGACAAGTGAAATCTCCCGCAGCTTAAACATGTGAGAGGTTGATCGCGCAGAGAATCGCTGAGCTTATGTGAGTGCGTGTGTAAAAGCATTTCAGTTCTGCTGAGCCAAATAAGACAGGTCAGGGTGAAGAAGTGACAGCCAAAGAAAAGCTTACCACAAAACGGAGAAGTTATGACAAATGAGACTATAAGGCAAAAAGAAAGTGCAGCTTCATGGTTTCATGGACAAAAGAATTTCTGTGGCTGCAATATGACAAGCTAAATAACCAGGGCTGCACATAAGTGGTCCGCAGGTGCGCATTCGCTGTCAAAATAAAAAAACACGCACAAGGGTTAGGGTTAAATTTAAAAACTGTACTTTTGAGTTAAAATATATATTTATAATTTTAATAAATGACAAATTAAAAATGCATGAACATTTTTTTGTATCGAAAAAATATCGAACCGTGACACCAAAGTATCGAACCGAACCGAACCGTGAATTTTGTGTATCGTTGCACCCCATATATATATATATATATATATATATATATATATATTATATATATATATATATATATATATATATATATATATATAATTAATTTGCTGCTTCAATCCTCTCACTGCAATTTCAGGGCTAAATATTGTGTGTTTACGTGCTGCGGTTGTTCATTAGCGCTTTGAATCGCTCTCCTGTGATCAAAATGCAGTCGTGCTGCTTCACTGATGTAGTTACAGATTAGTTATAATGAGTGCAGCCAGAATGAATAATGGGCAGCACAATAGGGTCCGGTGTGACAATCACGCCGATGCACAATGATTCAATATACCCGAGCGCATTAAACAATTAATCTGAAGACTAAGTCTCACATTCAAATGTCACGTCGTCTTGATCTGTCTCATTTCTTTGTGCACGGGTACAGCTAATGTTTACTAAATTACTCAGCTAGCACCTGGTTGCCAGGTTTCTGGCATTAGTAAGTTATCTGTGACTTTCAATCTGGTCAAACCGGAGGACTGTAGATAACGCATGACTGTTTGTGGTGCTTCTTTCTGTTTGTTTGTTTGTTTTTTATTTCTCTGACTACTGCACAGTGATGATGCACAGTCACTGTGCCTAGTCAAGTGTCAGGCAATTAACAGTTAATTAAAGAACTACTTATTTTACAGTGCGTGGTTTTTGTTTTGGGTTTGTTTGGTTTTTTTAATACAGAGCAAATAAACTTGACACTATTTAGTGGCCTGTTTCCAGAGTTAAACGGACAGTTAACTGCAAAGTCATATTTATCTATTATTCATCTTTATTGTAGGGCTATTTATTCCTTTTAGATACACTATATTGCCAGAAGTATTCATTCACCCATCCAAATCTTCTAATTCAGGTGTTCCAATCACTTTCATGGCCACAGCTGTATAAAAGATACTGTGATGTATAATGTGCAGAGGTGGACAACTTTCTGTAGAGTCAATGCTACAGATCTTCAAACTTCATGTGGGCTTCAGATTAGCTCAAGAACTGTATGTAGAGAGCTTTGTGGAATGGGTTTATCATATTAAAGCCAATGGATTAAATTGGGATCTCACGCAAGTGCTTGTGACGGCAGACGAGCATATACTTTTGGCAATATAGTGTCTTTTTGGTGCAGGTTGCCTTGTTTTGGAGATACTGGCTATAAAATCTGCTGAGTCTGATCCATCTTGATTATGCTTTGCTTAAATATAGGAATATAACCAAAATATAAGCAGTTAATTCAAGTCCCCCTTCTGCAAAGACTGACAGTTGACACAACAATTGTTTTCAAACGTTTGCCGATCGGTCTGAAAGTGACTGCAGTCTTGTTTGGAGACGGGTTGGAGATGAGTTGCCTCCCAACCGGTGACCTATTTGATGTTTTGCAAAAGAAAGTGGTCACCATGCCTACCTGCAATTGCTTGTCGAAGCAATTTTTGTTGCCTACAAGGAGGTGGCCCCCAATTCCCCCCCCACCCACACTTATGTATTTTATTTTTACATTTCTGAAGAAAAGGCTTAAATAACTGTGCGTCACACACCAGCACACTCTAAATGAATAAAAGTCCTATTTTTAGGTGAACTGGCCCTTTAAGACAGCCTCCCCCACACACAGAGACACACATGTTTAGTGTTAGCTGTTTATTGGACATACAGATAGCAGTGTTATGTAGGATTTTGTTGTTGTCGGTTGTGTAGTTTATATTAGAAAAAGCTCACACTAAGTATGCTTTAATGTTGCTGTTGTCACGGCAGCCATTTTGACACGAAGCAGCAGGAAGTCACTTTAATGAAGGCCACGCGCCTAAACAGAAAAGAAGCTGCTGCTGTTTCATGTGAAAATGGCAACTGTTCAAAGATCTCGGAAAAAAGAAAAGGTGTCGTTCTGATTGAAGCTGCTTGTTGTTAATGCCAGTGGATTAACAGAAGAACTGCAACAATCGCTTCTGCAAAACTAACAAAAGTAACACTTAAATGCATTACCAGTAAATATAACAGGCCGCTTGTGTACTAAGTACTGAATGATTGAGTTCATGTCCTTTAATCCCATGTTGTTCCTCCCACTCGCATCACAGGTAAAAAGTCCCACCTAAGGAAGACCAGCGAGAAGAAGCCACCCACAAAGGAGTCGATTGCCAAGCTGCAGCAGTCCACCATCTGGAAGATGGAGAACGACTTCTATGAATTTGCCCTGGAGCAGTTCCAGTTCGTCAGGGCGCATGCTGTCCGGGAAAAGGACGGGGAACTCTACCTGCTGGCCCAAAATTTCTTCTATGAAAAAATCTACCCCAAAAACTAGAGAAGAGAGCGGAGTGCTTTGGAGGAGGACGGAACACTTCGTCCATGCTCAGTCATGCGCTCTTGAGACAAACAGAAGTGGGAGTGAGGTGAGACTTGAGGACTACCGCTGACCGTGTGCCTCGTTTGAGAGCATGATGCGGAGCTGGAGAAGCAATCCGGCTGTGACGCAGCGACCGGACTGGCAGCAGTTGCTACTCGCGGCTGTGCCGGCCAGCTGGACGAGGAGCTCGCGTTTCAATCGGCAGGTTGCTATCGCTACCGGCAGCTGCTCCACTCCCTTTCACTTCAACGCCGAAGGTCGTCCATGCCGAGGGCCTCTCCCGGCTCGCGTCTTAAAGGCGACCGGCCGACAGCTGATCATCCCTCCACTCCTGATTGGATTCACTGTTCTTCTATCCAGAAGATTCTCATTGGCTCTGTACTGTTTGGTTGTGTTTGGTTGTATTTTATCTCTTTATTACGTTTTTGGTTTGTACGTAAAGACGTTTGACGGTGAAACGACATGCCTCACGCCTCATCACCTCTACTAACTTAAAGAGACGGTACTGTAAGAAACGTTGCTGTGTTGCTGGACTTGAATGGAGCCTTTTGAGGTTTTTATGAGTAAAAGTCCTGTGAACGCGGACTGTTTCCCGGGGCACGCGTGTATGTTTTATACTATACTAAGTGTGTGACTCTTGTAAATGTGCAGCTTTTCCTTTGGAGGGTAACAGAGGAAACGTTTACACCTTATTTTATTGAAGTGAGGTGAACTTGCTGCTTCTGTAAATATTTACAACTTTTTAAATCCATTGCATTTCCTGGCAGATAGGTTACAGAAGTCTGGACGTGTTGTTGGTTTTATTTTTGTCACGTAGAAGCATTTAAACACGGGAGGCTGCTAAAATCCGTTTGGGGAAATGTGCTTTTCCTTGTTTTCAATGCGACTTTTGTACCAGTAAATTTAAGACTTTTAGCAACTAAAGCATGAAGAGTGGACATGAGGAAGTTCCCCTGCTGTATTGGGTGTCCCCTAACTCCACTATGAGCCAAACGTTTCCATTTTTTTTTCTTTTTTTTACAAGTGGCGAAATTATGCATTAATTCAGGAGCTTCAGAAGAGCATTCCCAGTCAAAGCCAGACTGTTTCTCATTGATTTTTATGCCAAGCTAACCTAACCAGCTGCAGCATTACAGTATGTTTAAAAGGCTGATAAGAGATCAGTCTTCATTCATTTACTTGATAAATTGGCTTTATTTGGGCTCTGATGGGGTTTATTTTTTTAATCGTGTAAGGGAAACGATGAAAATTACAAGTATTTTAAAAAGTATACTTTGTTATGATGGGAAAGAGCCCCAGCTTCTTCCTGGATGTGCTGTCACTGTCTGTATTTGTATATCCAGGTGAATGGATGCTCCCTTGCCATCTGAGGACATACTGTAGTTAACCACTCTGTCTTGTGTGCCTTCTCTAGAGTTCGCCTTGTTTTGCAGGTTTTTCTGATTGAACATAAAGACAACACGGCTGCCATGTCTGTTTTCATCTTTTGATTGACAAACAATATAAAGAAGACTTTAAAAAAACTACCTGAGGTTCATGACTGGTTTTTAGTTGTGTTTTTTTTCTTTTCCAAATGTTTTTGCATCATCATCATCACTGTGTACAGCAAAGCAAGGATTTTGCGAGGTGACACACATAAACGGAAAAGTCGAGCTGGCTTACTTCAGGTGTCCTGCAGGGGGCGATAAAGAGCCTCCAGGTTCACTCCTGCCTCTGAGTGTGTGTTTATCATTTTCACATGACTCTTCCAAACAGTGTTTGATGATTGCAGTGACATGTGGTTGTGTGCCAACCTCTTTATATTCCCAGCACGTGTTCAGCACCTCCTCTTCTCGTAGTTCCTGCAGCTGAGCTTCATAAACGGAGGGCACTGAAACAGGAGCCACCACAGGCCAGGGAAAGTTTATGTGAGCCAGTGCTGCCACTCAGCGTTATTCACCCATGCTCTCAGATAATCCCTGGACAGGCATCAGCTACTGGACTCATCCCCGGTAATCTCAAATCATTCTCCAGTTACAGCTTCCTGGTCTTGGCCCTCTGACCTAGATTAACATGGACAATGCCCCCCCTCATACTCTGAAGCCTCAGTTACACGCTGCCTTTTAATATTAGACCAGGGACTGCCTTTTTTTTACGACAGTCTGCTACTGAAAGCTCCATGTACACAACCTAAAATAAACCTTTAATACACACCCATACATGCACAACATTTAACATATAGTCATGTAGCGTTGTGGTTTTCAGTGTCAGATGTGAGGTTCCCTGTTGATTGGATGACATATAACAAATGTATAAAACCACTACAGATACCAGATTTTCTACTGATTCTTTTTTCTTTATTTTATTGTTTACCGGTAATTAAGTGAGCCGGGGGATTCTTTCAGTTTAGCAAAGCTGGTCAAGAATTTAAAATGAGCCAAGCTGTCACATCCTGGGGTTTTCATTCAGTCACTAGGGTAATTTTTCCATGCGCTAACTCTGTTGTCATGTCAGTCACTACCACTCCCACATGCCTGTCCTTTCTTGTCAGTAGTGTCACCTGATCTGCCTCTCCTCTCCACTCACCTGCTCCTATTCAGCCAACCGATACCGCGGTAGGTGTTCATCCAGCTCCCCACCACTGATCAGTCAGACTGTCTTTGAGCTCGGTGCCTTAGCTTTCCAATATTCTGTGTCAGTGCCTGCTTTTTAATATCATTACCTGTAGTTTTAGAATTTGCTACATCTCGTGCTTTGTTTGTCAGTAGAGTTAATTAGCTTTTTATTTATTTAGTTGTTTTTTTTAAACCAGGAGCCATTTTACTGGATGTTCATTTCCCCACTGTAAAACCCGTGCTATGTAACGTCATTCAATATGTTTTGCTTAGTGTTGCATCACTGGAGGTTTGACTAAGAATAATGCATGAGCAGAGTTTCACACGCAGGCTGTGGATATCGACCTGAGAAACATGGAAAAGGAAAATAAACAAGCTAGCCTGAATCATTCCCTTTATGTCTGTGAAGTGTATTTTTATGCTTTGCCGCTATTGGTAATAATTCCATCCATTCATTTTCTTGCACCTATCCAGCTCAGGGTTGTGGGGGTGGTTGCAGCTGTCACAGGGTGAAAGATGGGGTACATCCTCCACAGGTTGGCAGTCTATTGCCGAGCTAACACAATGAGACAACCATTCACACCAGTCACTTTGAAAATCACCAATTAGCCTTTCCTGTGCAATGGAGAACATTTAAACTCTGGTAGAGTAGCTGGTGGATTTTAACCCACTACCTTTAGGAACGAGTGCTAAACACCACACCACCATAAACTCATATATATGGGGTTGCTTTAAAAAAAGGCAAAAACAAGCTAACTTGAAATATATAGAGTGAATGAAAGGGTTGTTTTTCCTTTTTCTTTTTAAAATCCTGTCTGAACCATAGCCATCTCACTAAAACGTCACCATCACCTCAGTAATCTGGATAATAATCGTTTATCATGTGTTGTAACACACCCACATCTGTATTATTTCAGTGAGATAACAGAGGTGGAACTCTGGGGAGGTGCAACGCAGACATACACGTGTCTGATAATGGCAGATATCAATAAATATAAACAAACCTGCCAGCACATTAAATCGCCTCCATTTTTTCCCCCTCCCACACCATGCACTACGCCTGAGCAGTTCACAGATTGTGAATACTGATGATGTATCACTGATGTATATGAAAGGCATCACAGCATCTATTCCGCCCCCTCCTGTCCTCAGTGGGCTTTTGGAGAATGACCTTTGCAGGAATTTAAACAGGAACATCACATTTAAAAGTCTTTAGTCTCTTTTGCATGTACAATATGCTGACAGTGCTCAGTTTATGACCAACAAAACAACTAAGTACAGAGAAAAAAGTAAGTCCGGTCTCTGGGACATATGGCTGGTGATGAAGAGTGTGCCTCTGTGGGTTATGTAATGCTGCAGTAACTCTTCTCACTGAGGTGCGACATATCAGCCACTGATCTCACTTCAAAACCACAGCAACAGAGTAATGTTTAAAAGAAGTGGAAGCACAGTGGGAAAGGAGCCCCTGTACCAACTTTGTGAAAAACATGGCATCAAATTAAAAATGAGCATATCATTTTCTTTTAAATAAAATACGATTGTTAACATTTGACATATGTTTTGTGCTATTTTTATCCTTGGACATGGTTAGCAACAATACTCAGGTAGGCTGTGATGTTTAAACGATCAGCTGCTATGCAAAAAGATATCTACCACACTGTTATATCACCACAAGCAGCCTAAGCCAGTGGTATAAGGCACGATGGATCCATGCTTTCATGCAGTTTACACCATATTGTGACGCTATCATCCGAATATCGCAGCACAAATCAAGACTCATCAGATCAGGGAATGTTTTTCCAGTCTTCTGCTGACCAGTTTTGATGAGCTCGCGTGACCTGTAGCCTCAGTGTTATGAACTTAGCTGACAGGAGTCCCATCTGGTGTGATCTTTTGTTGCCTTGGGCTTCAACATTGGATGTGTTGTGCATTCAGAGATACTCTTCTGCATACCTTGGTTGTAATGAGTGATTATTTGTCATCAAAAAGGGATTTTCAGCCAAAGAACTGACCGTCACTGTATATTTTCTATTTTTAAGACCATTTTGTATATGGTTGTGTGGGAAAATCCCCGCAGATCAGCAGATTTGCATGTTTCAAAGTCACGCACATCACCTTTGTTGCCCACTCTGATACTGGGTTTAAACAGGCTGTGATGACTTCATCTACATGCCTAAATATGATTATCTGATTAGATTAAAAGCAGTTGAACAGTTGTACCTATAAGAGTGGCCAGTGAGGTTAGGGTTAAATTTTAAATGTTATCTTTTTTTAAATTGTACTTTCACTTACCTTCTCAACTTTGAATAAATATAAATAGTTGCAAGACTTTTACTTGTAAAAGCATTTTATTTAAATTGACCGGTGTTACTCCTCCACCTTTAATGTCTAATACGGCTGCTTCACATATGTAAGCCTTGATTTAATTTCTTTATTTGTGTTTGGGGAAGATTTGGGGATGTTAGCCTGAGGTGAGGCCAGCCTTTACGAAGTTTCTGATCACATGTGTGTAGTAGCTGTCCCGGCAGTGTTGCAGCTCCTCTGGGCGGACTCTTCTATTATAACCACCGCCTCTTTCTCCAGCTGCACTGGGACAGATTTATGCTTCAGCTTTTTATTTATGAGCGCCAGTCCACCCTCCTGGACTCCGCTAGGACGGTGCGAGCGCGTCAGAGAAGTGTGAAGACGGCATGGGAAACTCCGTGTACCCGAGATGACCGATGGTTTGGTCAAAATAGTGAAGTTTTTTTGTCGCCAGAGAGGGAAACTTAAAACAAGGTTTGCTTTTGGAGTCCCACCACCCCTCCCTCCGCTCTCCCTGTAGGATTTGATTCAAAGGCGAAAACCAAGATGGCCGCCGACTCCGTGCAGGTAGGAAAAGTTGACAACTGTTGCGAAAAGTGCGCAAACTTGCTCCAGAGGTGCAGTTAGAAGTTAGCTAACAATTAAAACGCTTTAAAACGAGGCTTGCTGTGAGTTAGTCGTGTGTTAGAGGACTGCAGGGCCTCTGCTAGGTCCCAGAAGGCTGCCTGGGAATTATCCATGGATTGAGGCCTGGCACACAATTGTCCAAACTAACTTTCAAACCGGGAATTTTGTGCGAAAACCGCCGTGTTATTTAATGTAAAGGATCCTGTTGTAGTAAACGAGGTTTAGCGTTTGCGTAACCGTAAAAGCTCTTAAATAGTGGCTGTTTAAAGTAAACGTACAGGTCTTAGTTAACCTGCGTTACTTTTTTGGGAAAATAAAAGTTGCCGCCGTGTGTTTAGATACTGGCAGTGTGCAGAAAATGTGGTAAAACTAGACAAAAAAGAAAAAATGTCGTCTTTGTAAAGAAAATGCTTTGAGTTTTCTTTTCCAAGCTCGTTATAAACTGGTTGAACGTATAACCAGCGACACCACAGCAGCCAGCTTAGTGCCAACTGCAACAGTAATGCTAGTTTCTGTTTTTAAAAGAGAGGCTGGAAGTCAGTGTTACGCTCTCCTTTTTTTGTTCGGTGTGAACAGTTATGACTCACTGATTAATACAGTTTCACTCGAGTGACGTCACTCCCCCCCTCCTCCTCCAAGTGCATCTTTATATCAGAAACACTGTTGAGTTGTGCGACAGCTCATCCATACAGCTCGTTGTCCGATGGCACTACTTTATGCGTGACCTCCAAAACTCGTGTTCAACTTGAAAGCTGCCTCACCTCCACGGGTGCGGGAACCTAATGCTGTATTTGTCATGTATGGATGACTCAGACCGATGAGGTGTTTAATTTGTGCATCTTAAATAATACATGCCACATGATCTAGGTAGATTATACAACACAGAATCTATACTTGTTTATACTTATTATATTTAAACATTATATTGCCTGGGAGCAGCCATGTTTGAATGCTGTACATGTGTAAGGACAGACATGTATGTAAGTTAGATTAGGCTCACAGACTAATCTTACTTTGAGGACTGGTTGATTTGTGTAATTAAAAGAGTGTAACCGTAATTTGGTTTGTACCTTTTGTTTTTCTTTAGAGCTAACGAATAACAAAAAGCAAAACCTTCACCGTAATGACTAAAACTAGATGATGTATTAATACTTCAACCAGACTTTTAACAACTCCATCACAGTAAGAGAATCGTGGACATTTGGATAATAATTTCGGTCTCTGTTTCAGAACCGTTACACCGGTTAAATTATAAGAAGATTTACTTTTACTTTCTCAAAGGTTAGCAATATAATCTGGAGTGAAATCTGACACTGCACATTTATGGTCGTGTGTGGGTGATGATGAATGATAAAAACAACAGTCGGCATAATGTAACAGGAAGGCAGTGTCAAATTTGTGTGCATGAATAAATAACAGTAGGACATGTTGGTTTCTCCGGTGCTGGGGTCTTTATCCTGTTAAAAGCCACACGTAGCTTTTAATTTTATCTTTGGCATTCTGCTAAATTTAAACACCTGCTTCTGGAAATTGGAGTCGAACTCAGCAGGGTGACAGGTGCAGGAAAGTGGTTTACCTCTCATTCAGGTTTTTTGGACACCTACTGCCTGAGGAGCTCAGAAATGACCTTTAGCTGCTGTGACGTGACATGTGAGGCGTTCCCTGCTGTTTGACTTGCTGTGGGATATGTAGACTGCTTGCGAGAAGGTTGCACTTGTAAGAGCTATCTTTATTAGCTTGTGTTGCTATTTTTGGCGGCAGCACAGAGTACAGGGCTGTGGCCAGTGCTCTGCAGCCAGCTGTGGGGGTAAGATAGACCGGGTGTCGGGTTGTAGGCTGCGATTAGGCCTCGCACAGAAATGGCAAGGGCTTGGCTTTTTTAGCACAGACTTCGATAGCGGGCTCAAACTTTGCATTGTCCTTTTGTGTGAGTGGAGCTCTTGTTGTTAGACTTCTACTTCTACCTGAGGTTCAGACCAAATGTTTGCTTTTACCTCAGTTGCCTTTCATGTCCCGGAGCTCTAAAGGAGCTCATTAACAAAGGTCAACATTTGTAGGTAACCCTTGCCCTACTCATTTAAGAATATGGCACCTTTTTTGTGTGCTTTTCCTTAGACGCGCATTAAGTGGTTCCCAGCAGGACTGTTTTTGTAACATCAACTAAAATATGTATCCACAAGGTTTTCGGTACTGTTTACATTTGTTGTGAAGCCTTGGATGTTTCACAGTGCAGCCAGCAGAGCCACACTGGCAAGTTCCCTCCATTCATCATGAACTGTATGTATTGTAGCGTGAGTGGAGACATTTGCTTACAATTTCTGCTCTGCTCGTCTTTGAACTTAGTAAGTCTCGAGTTCCCGGTATGATGTCACTCCCCCTTACGGGGTGATACGTTCTAGCGTCAAAAGATGATAAGAGCAGTTAGAGGTAAAGGAGCAAGTCAGTGAG